TGTTTGTTTTTGTTTTTTTAATAAAATACTAATGCCTGAACCCTAGCTTTAAGGCCAGGGTCCACACTTCTAATTTTTTTTTGGGGGGGGGTCTGGTCGTGGGGCCTGAACTCTGGGCCTGGGCGCTGTCCCTCAGCTCTTCAGCTCAAGGCTAGTGCTCTACCACTTGAGCCACAGTGCCAATTCCAGCTTTTTCTGTGATTAACTGTAAGTAACAGTCTCATGGACTTTCCTGCCCTAACTGGCTTCCACTCGGGATCCTCAGATCTCAGCCTACTGAGTAGCTAGGGTTACAAGCATGAGCTACTGGCATCCAGCTAAGAGGCATTATTTTTAGGATGAGATTTCTAGTATTTTCACTTCCCCACTGACAGTTTGCAATTCAAACCTTTTAGTTTTTGTTAGTCTAATAGGTATAAGGTAATTTAAAGTGCTGTTTTAATTGACACTTCTCTATTTCTAAAGATTCTTAGCATCTTTTATGTATTCCATTTGCCCTCTCTTCTGTAAATTGCTTCTTCACACCATCTGCTTTTTATTCCTTGGAGGTTAATATCCCGCTTTGTTATTTCTAAGATTTTCTAATATATTCCACTTACTAATATCTTGTCAACTTATCATGGCAAATCTTTGTCATTCCAATACTTATCTATTCTCTTCGTATTTTTTGCTGAATGGAAATCTTTATTTTTGATGACTCAAATTCAACCAACTTTTTGTATGTTTAGGATTTATGGGCTTTTTATATTTTTTCCCACCTCATTTTATGATTTTTAAATTGTATTTCAGAAATCTTCCCCTCTTCTTGGGTCATAAAGAGATAGCCACACATTGTATTCTCTTAACTCTAAGATTGTCTTTCACTTTTAATTCTTTAACTAATCTGGAACAGACCCCACTTAGGTGATACTTGAAAGGAAGTAGTCTATTTTCTTCTATAGGCTACAAAACTGGAGATCCTTGTGATATCCTCACGAATTCTTGAGTAAGCCATTCCTGCAGCACCTTGAGAGGTTGATATCTTTAGCAGAGAAAGGTGAGAGAGTCATGTGCTCAGGTGAGAACTAATAGGAAAGGCTGTTAGAGAATGACTGAATTTTTGGTATCACATCTAAAGAGCAGGAAACCAAACTGTTAGACCTTGTAGCCTGTCTCAGTGCCTCCAAATTAGGAAAAAACAGAGGATACAGCACTGGAAAATTGTAGTAGAAGCAGTACTTCCTCCTACCCATTTACATAGGTGTTCCCAAAGGAGATAACATTTAAATAAGGAGGTGAGAAATGCTGGGAAACAGGAAGTGAAGTTGGTTTTAAAACTGTTTTGAAATGAAATCTGGCACCCATGGATTGGAAGCAAACAAGAAGTTTGTTAAATTTCCAAGGTATTTATATTTCAAAAGTCTAGCTTATGCAGGGCAGGTGCATAGTTGTTGGTCAAACAGTATACTGTGGCACACATACATTGTTAATTGGTCACTAAAATTTATTTTCTTTCCTTGAATGTATGTCTCACCGGTCATATAAAATAACACATTTCTCTTTGTAGTTAGTCTTTTAGTAAAGTTTTAGATTTTCTTCAGAGTTTGGGGAATTATTTATTTGTTTGATATTAATTTTTACAGCCATTCTGAATAGTATGCAATTTTTAACTGAAATTTATAGCTTTCACTATTAATATGTTAACTTTTATTTGGCAACATTGTTGGGAATATTCTATTTTTATTTTTTGGGGGGGTTCCGGTCGTGGGGCCTGAACTCTGGGCCTGGGCGCTGTCCCTCAGCTCTTCAGCTCAAGGCTAGCACTCTACCACTTGAGCCACAATGCCACTTCCGGCTTTTTTTTTCTTTTTGCTTATGTGGTGCTGAGGAATCGAACCTAGGGCCTCAGGCATGCAAGGCAAGCACTCTGCCACTGAGCCATCTTCCCAGTCCCTGTTGGGAATATTCTAATGCGTGTCTCTTGTTTTAATTGTTTTATTTCAATATAGAAAGTCACACTACTTACAATCTTTCTTGAGTTCTTTCTTTTCTTTTGCAATAGTAATAGTCCTTTTTTATTTTTCATATTTCACAGCATTGCCCAAGACTTCAAATCCTATGTTACACAATTGTTATGATGAAATAAAGAATTTATTTCCCACCTTAAAGGAAATACTCAAGCATTTTGTGAACATTTTACTCCTTTTGCTTGATTCCTTTTTCCAGAATCTGTATAGCATAGTATTTTTTCTACATGAAAATAAAACAAAAGGAGTAGAGACTGTTAGACCTTGTAGCCTTTCTCAACACCTCCACATTAGGAAAAACCAGAGGATAGAGCAACGGGAAATTGTAGTAGAAGCAGTGCTTCCTTCTACATAAGGGCTCCATGATAAAACAGAAAAGCATCAAATACCTGACATTCTATATAACTAACCGAGGACATTTACAGGCAAATATCACACCCAAAATTTATTTGGATAACCCAAGAGAGCTCAACTACGTCCAATCATTACCCTAGTGTTGTGCAGAATGACTGAGGAAGGCATCATTAAAAGATAGCACCAATTCTCCTCCAAGCATACTGAGGAGCCCCAAGACAATGGTATAAAACTGGGGCTGCTGGCATGGTTTGGATGTTTTTCTAGGCAAGGCAGGTCAGTTGATAAACCTGTGTCTACATGAGATGAGGAGGAAATTGCTAAAGAAAGATGATAGATCATCAACAGGGTAAAGATGGGGCAGCCCACTCTCCTACTCTTTTATAAAAATAAGTAAGCTACCTAATTTAGGTGACACACTGGGCGAGAGGATCCTGGAACCTGAAGACTGAGAATGACCCACAGGGAGCAATCACAGGGGGTAAATTGTGCAAGAGGTTAAACTGAAGGTGGACCTTCCATTGATTTCCAGGAGGGAGGAGCATAATGGTCAATTGGTTTTGACTACAGAACAACCATCTAAATATTCTAAATCATGTATCTACTAGGAAAAGACTTCAGTCTCTTCTATACTGAATTGCTTCACTCTAAAAAAAAGTCACAATCATAAAGTATATCAGAAATTATTGTTTGGTATGCTGGTTGTAGGGTTTGAACTCAGGACTTGGGCTTTTGTACTCAAAGCTGGCTCTCTACCATTTTTGACTCTTTTTTTGTAGTTTATTGGACTTTACTGCCTGGCCTGGCTTCACACCTCAATCCTCAGATGCTTTTTCTAAGTAGCTAGGCTGCCAGAAGTTAGCCATTGGCACCCAGCTTAGAAATTATTTTTATGAGTACTTGCCATATTAATTGTCAAGTAGAAATCAATGAATGAAACAATTCTATATCCATTTCCTATTCTGTCTATTCTCCAGGATATTTCAACAGTGTCAAACCATCATAGGCAACATCAGAGACTTGTCACCATCTAACCTTCAGGTTTCATTTTAATCCAACTGTTACCTCTCTTCTTTTCCAAGTATCAGGTCCTTTTGATACCACCTACTGGTGCTCTCTCTGCTAATCCTCATGTGTCTTGGCTCTATGAGCATGTATATGCTCCTCTGCCATGTCCTAGTGCAGGTAATGTCATGGTATAGTCACAGAGATCCTTTGCCTTGCTCAGTATTTCTTCTCTACTTTTGCTCCAGGCTACACCAGCCTAGAAGGAACTCCAGGGATTTGTAAGTTTTTCCACATGCTCTCCATGAAAAAGAGAGCAATATACCCTCAGCAATCAGATGCTCCATATTTCTAGGGAAGTTTTATCACTCAGCTTTTCTGAATTTGGCCTGGGGAAAAGGCAGGGAAGAGTCAGTTCTCAAAAACTTAACAGTATCTCTATTCTCAAGGTCTTTCCATCACTAATTCTCTTTTTTTTTCTCAGTTGGAGAATGTTTATCTAATCTGTTGAGTATGAGGGTTAGGAACAAAAAATGGATCATACTCTATATATACCCTTAGCATCTCTCGGTCTCTGTCTCTGTCTTTTGTTTGGGCATGGGTATGGGTGTATGCATGGATGTTTTCCAATGGCTCTGCTTTTTAAACTTTTAAACAATGACAATTGCCTATAGTATTGTTCCAGGCCATTCTTTCCTCAATACAAATCAAACTACTCCCTAATAAAATTTCTCAAGAGACTTGGGTACACTGATTTTCATTAATCATTTTCTTTCTTTTGTAAGGTCCAAGACCAGCAATTGAACTCAGTACCTGCTGCCGTTGCTCATTGGCTAATACTTTATTATCTGAGCCATCCTTCTAAGCCCTCTTTAATCACTTTCTAAAGTTTGGTTTGGTCTTTGCCCAAGAAAGGAGAACTTTCATTTATTTAATCAAGCTAAGATGAAGTTGGTCCTTAAGATAAGCGTTTAGATCTGAACCCTGTTACTTATTTCAGGTTTGTTAGAGCCAAGTATCAGATGTTGCATAATAACTGTTTATTGAACTAACCAGTAGGACAAGCTGAAAACAGTAGAAGATCACTGCCCTGAGACTCTATCTCATGGTTCAGAGCCAAGATTACCCAAGATACGAGTACTGATACCAATAAAGCCTTATCACAAATAAACACATTCATTTTCCCTACCCAATGGTAACTGACCAGGCTCCTCCCTTTGATACTCCAGAACCTGGGTGGCTATACTTGGGGAGAATGCAAGTTCAAGGATAGATTTAAGCAGTCTTGTGATGTTAAATCTTCCTTTTGTTGCAGACTGGGATATATGATTAGCAGTTGGTACCCCCACACAATTGGCTGAGGAGACTATGAATTGTAAATATTTGAACATTAGCTTCTCCTCCCCCTCCCCACCCTAGTCTGGTTGTGGAACACAGAAGAAACAAGCTTTGTTACTTAGTTCTAGGTTTTGCTACAGGTTCTAGGTGAGCTGAAAATCCAGGGTCCACAGCCCAGACACCTCTGAAGTAGGAAAAGTATTGGGGATCATTGACAATCACTAACTTGACCTGTAATTTTGTAGGTATTGTGTAACCTCTTTGCTCCTTCACTTCTAGCCATAAGAAAAGCTTGACACATTTTTATTTTTATTTATTACTTGTTTGAACTTTCACTTATCAAACAATTGCAAGTTTGCATTTACCAAGTACATAGACTTTTGGAATGTCTTCGATTTAGGGCACACAGTAGAGGGCTTTGTGGAACACACTGCCAATGAGCATTTTCTCATGGTACACAGAAGCCACTGAGCTGCCTTGAAGCACAGAGCCATTATTGGCATACACTGTGTTCACTGTGGGCTTATCAGACAATACGTTCTGGATGCGCAGTACCTGTCAAGAGGAATGTCACTCATTAGTAGAGTATATGAACAGCTATCTAGTGATTTCCTTCCCAAATGTTTCAGAATAAACATACTTTCCAAGAAATCAGTAAGCTAAGTTCTACACAGCTTAAGTAATTTTTTTTCTTTATTACGCTCAGTTGAGTTAAATTCCAGTTATCTTATATTTCCATTATGTGAATGGCGGCATCGAATATGTCAGCTACATTTGAACGTATTATTAAAGTATTATGTCCTAAAGAGCTATGCAGTAAGATGGACTTATTCTTTGACATTAGCCAAATTGTTCACCAGAAAGCATAAAACCTTTTCTGATAGTTCAGGCACCTTATAGGAGATTAGATCCCAAGCTGGTGGTGGTTTTCCAGCTGTGGGGGTGTTATTGCTTTATGTCCTACTCAAGGGGCAGGTACATTCCCTTAAAACAGATAATGTGTCTGGGGTTTAGTAAGAAAGTTTCATCTGTCACTTGTTGGCTGAGAATAGCTAGCTTACCAATCTACAGATTTGAGGGTCTAGTTAGACTTATATATAGACATATATACACATATGTGTATATATGTATATAATATATGCTTATAATATATAATACATATATAATATATATGCTCTTTCTAAGAAGCAGTTAATATGTTAATTTTTTAAAACTGAAGTAACAATAGCAATATTCTTCAGCAGAAATAACTATGTTCTGCTTTAATTTCCAGTCTAGCATATGAATCTCAGTTTCCCAACTCTGAACACATGTATTCAAATGTATTTTTCTTTAAAGCATCCCTCTTTAGCTAGATCAAGTCTGATCTCTGTTTAATATAAGGCTATTCCCATCCCTTCACAGCAATTTTTACCTTCTTTGTCCAACTATGCCATTTTTCCTATAGAGCTTATCATTTTCAAACACTATATGCTTTATTTCTTATACTTACTGTTCAGGGTCTGTCCTTTTACTCTACTTTATCCTTTACTTCTACTCTAAAGAGCAGAAATCTTTGTATATGTATTATTTTTTGATATAGCCTAAGCAATTAGAAAAACATCTGGCTGTTTGGCAGGTGTTCAGTAAATATTTGCATATATACATCTCTCTGGGGGAATGTGTGCTAAGATTTGGTGACTGTATTTACTAGAATATCTTTTTTATTTTTAAACTCAATGCCATAGAAAATGCAATGTCTTTTAATGTTTTTAATTCCATAGAAAATGTGACAGCTTATGTTATTGTTTTAGAAGATCTATTTAAAATAATGAAAATAAAATCTCTTAAGAGGATATGTTTTTCAATACCACCATATCTGCAGGCCAAAAGTCATTTGTTTTGAGACTACAATCATTTAAACCCTTTTACTGAAGCTTTATATTAGATAGTGAAAATGAAGATGGTGCCATAGGAGTGTCTCTGCTCAAAGCTTACCTTCTGGTTATAAATATAATAAAATAATATCAACCAATGAATGAATAGCCAGGTCATGTTTTCTCCTTACTACCAATAACAAATAAACCCCTTATACATCTGAGACATATTGTCTGGCACTAATATGACATTGGCACTTGGTAGCTTGAAAGGGCTAAAGAATCACATCCTCCTGTCAACATCCCCACTTTTTACACGCAGAATTTGTTCATTTCTGGAACATCAAATGTGACCCACCTACATCTCACCCCCAATAAATTGTTTTCTGCAGCTTTTCCTATGAGTGGAGAAAAATATAAACACTTACTTCTGACCCTGGAGGATCCTCAGGGTTATAGAACAAAATTTTCATGGCATTTGGATGGCATCCTGCCAAGATATCTCCCGTAGCAGGATCGACATTCAAGTTATCTGGTAAGGTGCCCAATTGTATCCTCTTCCAGCAAAGAAGACAAGGTGAAGAAGACATTGTCTCAGTGTTTTCCTCTGTTGTCCCCACATCCCACCACCTTTTCTCAGACTATGACTGTACTTTAAAAATACAAGCACAATCTCACCAGCTTGCTCTATAATACTCAAGGTCCCTTTATTTAAGCAGCATATTGTTGGGTCAAGTATGAGACTATTGTAAAAGGCCCTGTGGTGTGGGCAAGCTGGGATACTTGTACCTTCAGTTGAGTTAAATTCCAGTTATCTTGTATTTCCATTATGTGAATGGCAGCATCAGATACATCAGCTACATAAACATACCTTCAATGCAAATAACATTTACACATAAGCAAATAGTAATGAGAATAGGACTCTGACTCTTGTTCTGGAGAAGGGTTGTAAAAGTTTATACTAGATTGAAGTGCCACTGTGATGTCTTTCTAAAACAGTATAAAAGAAGATAATGAAATAGTACTTTTAGAATTCTTGAAACATTTTAATTAGGCTTTGAAGATGACATATGACTATAAAGTAACAAAACTATTATTTTCAATGATATCTAGGCTGAATATTGTTACTTAGAAGTTACACATTTTTGTATTTAAATTGTATGGTGGTAAATAGGCTTCTTGGGGGCCAAAGGAATTTATATCTCCAAAGTTAGTGCTAGAGAAGAAGTAGCAGGTGACATAATCAGTGGTTGTATTTTTTTAAGAGGAAGAACATTTAGGGATGTTTGGCACAACAGTCTCTTTATTATCTCAAATTTACATATTAATATTCATGGTATTTTTCTTTTGTAAAAACTTTCCATTCTTAAACATGTATAAGGAGTGTTTTTTTTATAATTCCATGTATTCAAGTGCACAATACATAAAACCTGAACTATGTAACTTGAGAGCAGAAATGGGAGGGGGGAAATGACCCGGCAGCTGCACGATGTGCAGGTGGCACTTTTCCACATGTTCTCCATCATTGCCTGCAGAAGGAGGCACTGTAAGACTAAAGCTGTTCACTAGCAGCCATACCTGAGCAGTACTCTTGCCTTGGAGACTGGACTGTGAGAGTCTCAAAGGCTGTTGAAATAAGTTCCCATTGTATAGAAGCCATCACTGATACTAGCCACCCCCTCCCCAAGCTGGGCCTTACAGATCTTGAGAAAAGGATGGAAGAGGTGACATTGATCAAAATGCATCATATTTACAAGCTGACTTATAGAATCGTAACCTCTTTGTACAACTACTTAATCATAAAATCTTCTAAAAATCCATGCTATTTAAAATAACCATCAAGGAAAGATACAATCACAATGCCCAATCTAGGCCTCCATTTAATTTAAGTAGTTAAATGCCTTCTAGCCCCTAAGGGCAGAAATATTGCACATTTATCCCCCTGTTTAATGTATTAGGAAAGTGTATTTCTGCAGCTATATAAGAATTGGAGTAAGGGCCTTATTTTTTAGTCTCATCCCTTTTTCTAAAGGAATTGGCCTCTAAAGCACCAGAGAACAGATAGTTTACTATTACACATCTAGGGCTACCTCTGTCTATACCTGACTCCCCCGCCCCAATTCGTATTGACTACTTAAGTCTAAGGAAGTAATTGCTCCTTGAAGGAAGGAATTCACAAAAACACCCAGGGAAACAGCTAACAAATGATTAGTAATAATAATAATGATAATAATAATAATAAAGCATACTTCCGGTTCTGTGAGACTGTGATCCCGTTGGCAGACTTAAACCCTGTGGCTGCCACTTTGATCTCTCTTGGGCTGTAGAAAAGAACGTAAGTCCAGCGAAGTTCCAAGATGATCTCAATGAATGTCATGGGGAAGCTAGTAAAATAATGGTCTCTTGTAGCATAGAATTCTTCTAGTCCAATAGCCACGATGTCATTCACACTACACAGAGAGAGAGAGAGACAGAGACAGAGACAAAGAGAAAGAGAGAGAATGGGAGAGAAAGAAATAGAAAGAACCCATGAGGTACTTGAATATCCTCACTGTTGTAAACTACATAGATCAAAATGTTCATCAGTTTCAAAAAGTAGACTTAGATAACAGAACCACAAAAACTTCATAATTGTACATTGCTATGATGATTTTCTTTAGTCATTTAGTATTTTTTAACTTTTCCACAGAATTCAGTAAAATGACATGAACAAACAAATTCAAACTCCAAAGTCTTTCAACATGTATTAAAAATGGTTATTTTTAGTAGTTGTAATAACTACCATTCTTCTAAAGACTTGTCACAGATATGTGACTTACTTTGGCCAATGAAATGAAATGTGTGTGGATTCTGGATGGAAGCTTTTTTGATAGCCTGTGAATGAGCCACCGTGCTTCCATACTATTGAGCAATTTTTCTGATGATTGAAAATTATGGTCCACCTAGGGCCCTAAATGGGGACAATATGAGACCCAGGCTCTTAATTACCTACCCTGGATAAGAAGCATGAGTGAGAAAATACAACTGTGATTTTGAGCCACAGGCTTTTCTTCCTATAATCATAGCTGAGACAAGTTCACCCTGGCTTTATGTTTCCTCTGAATAGACTGATTATAGGGGCTATTCTTTTGTGCTTTGATACCAATAAAGTTTTTTTTTGTTTTCTTCGCTTTTGTTTGTTTTAAGACAATTTCAAGATTGAGCTTGAAGTACTGGTCTTGAGCCATCCTTAAGCTCAACATCCCAATTCGTTGAGATTACAGGTATGTGTTACTGTACCTCGCTGTCATTAAGATTTTTAAATGAAGCAAACCTTGTGAAAACAGCAAACTCCTTTCCATTTTGGAAAAGAAAGAAGTAACTTTAAAAAATATAAAGAAAGCAGGGTACTGATGGCTTATGCCTGTAATCCAATCTACTCAGGAGGCAGAGGTCAGAAGGGGGTGGTTCGAGGCCAGTGGGGCAAATAAAAGTTTGTAAGGTGGGGAAGAATACGCCGTCATCCCACCTACAAGAGGAATATAAACAAAAGGTTGCAGCCTAGATCTGTCCAAGTAAAAAGGGAAACCCGCTTCAAAATAAACAGTACAAAAAGTGTTGAAGGCATGATTTAAATGTTAGAGGGTCTACATAGCAAGCTTAGTGTGAAACCCTGAATTCGAAATCTAGTACCTCCAAAAACAAACAAATAAGAAAGCTTTTTTAGATAAAACTTTTGGAAAGGAAAATTTGGATGTCTTGAAAAATACTTCGCAGTTTTGACAGATAGCATCTTTCCCTGGGTCACTGGGCTACTGATCTTTAATGTCTTAGCTTGAGCATTCCTTCCTCCAGAAATTCTCATCTGACAATGATAATCAAATTCCCAAACAAAATGCTTTCCGTAGTATGCTGCTTTGCTTCCAGCATATGTTCAGTATGTTTCCAGGACCCTCTTGTGCTCTTCTTTAAGATCCTATAGTCTCCCTTATCTCTGCTGCCTTCCTCTATTTTAACTAGTTCTGCCTGCCTCGACTTAAACCAGTTTGCATAATGACTACCCAACTCTCTACAGGTGCAACCTAGCAGTCAAAACACAAGATACTACCAAACTTGATTTGCACATGCACAGTCAGGAGTGTAGGGGAGGTAAAGCCTTTGAAGTAAGTCTTTTTAAAATGGTACTGTATTGTAGTTATTAATGTGTATGAAATTGCACACAAGAAGGGGTTTCACTGTGGCATTCACATCTCTGCATCTATTGTGCTTTGGTCATGTGTACTCTCCCTACTACTCTGTCTTTCTGTCCCTTCCCTCCCCCTCCTCCATGCTACTTTTCCCTTTCCAAATATCCCCCCACTACCAGCTTCTACCCAGGAAAGGAAGCATGCAATATTCATTTTTTTCTGTCTGATTTTAGTTAACCCAATGACCTCTTGTTCCATGCATTTTTCCTACAAATGACATGATTTTATTCTTCTTTATGGCTGATAAAACTCCATTGTATATGAATATCACATTTTCTTTCTCCATTCATCTGTTGATGAGTATCTAGGCTGATTCCATCTCCTGGCTACTGTGAATAGTCAGTGATAAACATGGATGTGCAGCTACCTCTAGTATGCTGGCTGATTTCATTGGGTCTGCTGGTTCACTCTGAGTTTTGTTTTAATGAGAAATCTCCATACTGATTTCCATCTTGGTTGTGCCTATTTTACATTCCCATCCACCAGGTGTGATGGTTCCTTTCCCCTACATTCTAATTAGTGTTAGTTACTATTTATTATTTTTTATAGTAGCTACTCTGGAGGGATGGAATCTCAATGAGGCAAACCTTTCACAATAGGAGATCAGGCTGTTGGGTAAGCTTTTTTTTTCCCTTATCTTGGCCAGATTGTTCTAAAATGTGCCTTATGTAGCTTACTGGAGGATAATTTCATAATTTTGAGCAGTAAACTGACTATAGCAATCGGGCAGCTTGCTATTGCCTTCGCTATAGCTCTCCTATATATCAGTTTCTTGTGGCTTCCAAACCAAAGTGCCATCAACAGATGTGCAAACAACAGAAATTATTGTTTCAGCATTCTAGGGGTTAGGGTTCTAAAATCAAAGTTCTGGCAAGGCCATGTTCCCTCCAGAGGTTTTTCCCCCTCCTTTCCCCTCCTCTCCTGTCCACTTCTCTCCTCTCTACCCCTCCCCTCCCTTCTCCTCTTCTGTCCCCTCCCCTGTCTTCCCTCCCCCTGCCCTCTTCTCTCCTTTCTCCCCCTCTTTCCCTCTCTTTCCCTCTCTCTCACTCTCTCTCCCCTCCCTCTCTCATTCTCTCTCTCTCTCTCTCTCTCTCTCTCTCTCTGGTGTGTGTATGTGTTACTAGTGTTTGAATTCAGAGCATAAGCATGCCAGGCCAGAGTTTTATCTCTTAAGCCACACCGCAGCCTTCTATCTGAAGAGTTTATGAAAAGATCTCTCTGTTTCTTTTCTAGTTTCTGGTAGCTACAGGCTTTCCTTGGATTGTAGACACAAAACTCTTTCAGTATCAAAATTCATCTGCATATGTCATTCGCCCTGTGTGTCTGTGCTCATAAAAATTCACTGGCCATACTGGGTAAAGAATGAACCCTCCTATAAAATGACTTCATTTTTAATTATCTTTGTAATGACCTTTTCCAAGCAATATGCTGAAGTGTATAGGATTGAAATTTCCACATTTTTTTTTAATGGCATGATCCAATACAAGACATTTTCCCTTCCCTGGTTTATCCTGGGTTTAGACTTCTGCTTCTTGAGATTGAATGCTCTCATAAGGTTCTCACATATCATATTTCCCCTCTGGTTGGCTTTCCAGAAAACTATTTCTAGGGGGAAATATGCAATTATGCCATTGCAATTTTTATTTTTTATTTTTTGTCATGGGGCTTTGAACCCATGGCCTGGACTTTTTCCCTAAGATATTTTGCTCAAGGCTAGTGCTCTACCCACGACCGACCAAAAAGAAAAAAAAAAAGGCTAGCGCTCTACCACTTTGAGCCACTGCTCCACTGATGGTTTTGTGGTGGTTAATTGGAGATAAGAGTCTCATGGATATTCCTACCCAGGCTGGCTTTGAACTGTGATCCTCAAATCTCAGTCTCCTGAGTAGCTCGGATTACTGGAGAGAGCCACCAGTATCAATGCTATTGCATTTGATCATCACAATTCACCAATTAGGGAAGTGATTATTTTACTGAAAAAAATTAATGCAAATATTAAGTAACTTGTCCACAGTTTTATAGCAACGCTGTGCAAGTCCTGGTCCACTCTGGCCTGCAAACTCAGGGCCATGTATTATGGGAAAAAGTCAATAACTTTAATTCTCCTTCTTCTTCTCCCCTCTTGCTTCTTCACTCTTCCTGTTACTTTTATCTTCTGTGGGGATGAATTTACAGGAAATACTTAAAAAAGAGAACACGGGAAATGGACTTTTTCTATTTCCTTCCCTGTTCTTCTATCTTGTAGAAAAATCAACCTCCATTGTTTTGGAACCATCCATTTTATAAAAGACGAATTCTGCTGGGTGCTGATGGCTCACACTGGTAATCCTAGCTACTCAAGATGCTGAGATCCAGAGGCTGGTATTTGAGGCCAGTCTAGATAGAAAAGTCCAATAGATGCCATTGCCAAAATAAAAAGCAGCCAGAAGCAGGTGGGAGACATGGCTCAAGTGATAGAGCACCAACCAAGTAAGTAAGTAGAGTGAGTGTGAGACCGTGAGTTCAAAGCCCAGTATAGCAAGAAAAAATAAAATAAATTCTTTATTGCTTTCCACAGACTTGAAACAGGAAAAGTATCCATTAACAAGCGACTTTTTTCTGCATGAAGAAGCAAGGATGTTGACCATTGCAACAGAGACCTCAGCTTTCAGTTCAGATAGGTCTATATTTACATAATATTTGCACCAGTCACTAATTGTGTGACTTGAGCAAGTTACAAAGCTTCTCTAGGATCCATTTTACTCATGCCTACTATTACAGGCTATTGTGAGAATTAAGTTAAATGAAATATTTTGGCCTAGCATATGGTACATAGTCAACACTTAATAAATATAATTTTTATAAGCACCTCCAAGCTTCTATGACAGTCTACTTTAGAGAATTAGATACAAAGAAATTGCCCATCTGGTGGTTGGTAAGAATACCAGTGGGTGAGGCTCCCAGAATACAATCTACCAGCATAGGTAGGAGAAGGGTGTGGGTGTTTAAAGAAAGTCTGATAGTAGGTATTACAATGCTGTGGTGAGAGGATGGAATTCGAGCTGGGAATCTAATTGCACACCTTTATGGGATTAAAATGCTTTCAAAAGTTGGAGAATATAAGGATATTTAATACTGAATACAGCTATTTCTAGTGAGGTTCTGGGTAGTGTCACCATGGGAATCTTTAGAAAGCTTTAGAAATAATAGTACAAAACAAAAGCTTAAGAAAGCCTGCTGAACCCATAAAGAAAATAAAGCAATAGCTCAGGTGCAAAATAACTAGAAGTATACACTACTTTAATTCCCTACCTCTTGAGAAGTTCATGAGTTATGGTTTTCCAGTGTATGAGAGAACGCTGTTTGTCATCAAATTTAAATATCTCCACAGTGGACTTCATGTGGGGATGATTCACAACATAAAGATACACTGTATCGTCTAAATAGGGGGAAAAAACACACATCATTTCCAAGCAGTTTACACCCCTTGAAACCATTATTACCTTTATTTTCAAACTTGGGTCACTCACTGATTAAGATGCACTGTATTCCTAAACTGACATGTTGAATTGAAGCTCCTTTGTACAACTACCGAAAAATAAGCAAAACTCCAATCAATCAATCAATCTTGGTCAGTTCCAAAGGCTTTGGTTTGGTTTGGTTTGAGTGAGCATGTCACTGTGATCTCTGGGTTCAAGCCCTGTGTAGCTGGGACTATAAATATATACTACTTTGCCAAGTGTAAGGGGTATTTCTTCATATGCCTTACATTTGACCCTCATAGGCCAACTGAGAAGTAATTCAAATAAAAGCCAGAAACACCATTTATGGAGGAAATAAAGTTCACCATAGGGAATGACTCACTGATTTCACCACTCCCAAGGCAGAGCCAAGTACAGATGTCTCTTTAACCAATCTGCCTACTCTCTACCATGCTTTCCAACAGGAAGAGAGAGTAATGGCAATGGTCTACAAACATGAGATTTCTCTAGATGATCCTTCAATGAGAGAGTACAAGCAAACAAAACTTTGCTGAGAAATTTTATGTGTGTGTCTATGCATTTGTCTACAGTCCAGCTTAAGTGCCGGAAATGTCAGTGTAAATACCTTAAAATCAACAAAAGGTCTCAGCCAGACAATGAGCTTTTAAAATAACTACTTGAGGTTGCAACAACATGTAGACATGGAATGTGAATGAATATGCATGTACAAGGCAAATCATCCAGAGAATTCCAGGCACTGCTAACTTCAACAGTGTTGGCTTGTTGTCACTAACAACATTATATAAGCATGTGAACTACTTGTGAGGGATTCAGGGTGGGAACCTGAGTTCCCAGAGTCCTGTTTTCTGATCTGGTAGCACACATAGGGCTGAAGAGCTGTGGACTTTGTAAAGGTTGGTCCATAGTCCCACTGTAGGTCTTGTTCTGCATTTATTCTCCCTATTCACATCATTCATGTACTTGTCTAGCAAGTGATGGAGCCAGCTCAAGTACTTACATGCAAAGTTGAGATTCAAGGATCCAGAAACATACCAAAAGCTTTCTTTCCCTTCTTTCTTTTCATGGAGTTTCACTGTGTAGCACAGACTGGTGAACTCACACACTTGTTGTCTTGGTTTCTGGAATACTGGGATTACACACCCAGCTCCTGTCTACTTTTAATTACTGAGTTATTTATCACTATTGTTGAGCTATAAGAATTATTTCTACATTCTGGATACAAGTCCTTCATCACATATATTACTTTTCAAATGTCTCATTCCTTTGACCTTCTTACTTTATTGATGGTGGCTTGGAACTACAAAGCTTCTCATTTTTGTGAGTTGAATTTATCAGATTTCCTTGTCGTGTCTAGCATTTTAATATCATACAATTATTTTCAAAGGCCTTTTAGTTTACATCTTAGATATCTGAACAATGATTTTAAGCAGATTATGATAAGGCACATAAGAAGAAAAAGTGGTTAGGAAGAAGAGGAAAAGACCACATAGGGTCCTCAGTATGAGTCTTCCTTTTTTAAATGCAATGTTCAAAAATATTTTTAGACACATTTATCATCTTGTAAAATATTGTATATATTTTCATGATAAAATATCATGTACCTTCTTTCTTTAATGTGGGTTTTGAATAATAGGAGATGAATGCTTTCCATATCCCTCTTTTTCTCTTATACTTAATCATTCAGGGTTTACCTTTGTCGATGAAAGTACTAATCCCATGTGGGTTAAATATTTCTTTGTCAAAACTATCACTGAATTTTAATGCATGTGGCTTTGGATTTTGCTCATTAAGATCCATCAGGAAGATTTGTCCAGGCTCATCTGGTGCAAAGGATGGCATTCCTGGATATTTTAGTCCCTTTAAATGACAGAGAATAAATATGTACATATCAAAATAACATTTTCATACAAAAGCTAAAATCTCAAGGTCACATAAAATGTTCCAGGTTGTTTCATTTGGATTTCTTTTTCTTTTTCTTTTTTTTTGGTCCAGTTGTGGGCTTGACCTCTGGGCCTGGGCACTGTCCCTCAGCTCTTCAGCTCAAGGCTAGGGCTCTACCACTTGAGCCACAGTGCCACTTCCAGCTTTTTTCTTTTTGCCTATGTGGTGCTGAGGAATCGAACCCATGGCCTCATGCATGCAAGGCAAGCGCTCTACCACTGAGCCACCTTCTCAGCCCTTCATTTGGATTTCTGAGATTTTTTGTGGTGATATTTTTCACAATTTGATCTGAGTGAGAGCATAAGGGTTCCCATCATTATCTAAGCATTGTCTGTAAGTGGGAAGAAATATGCTCAAAATAAGTAAGCATTTTTAATTTAGAAAGAATGAAGCCAAGCCTGGTGTGGTAGCACATGGCTGTAATCTCAGCTGCTCTAGGATAGATGGCTCACTATCTGGTGGTTAAGGGTGGTTGGGGGGTCACAAGTTTGACAGGGAATGTACTTACTATCTTACTTATAGAACTGTAACCCCTTTGTACATCACTTTGACAATAAAAAATTAATTAAAAAAGAGTCTAGTCTAGACACAGTTAGCTTAAGAAACAATATGAAAAACAACAAAACTAACAAATGGATTAGTGGTATGGCTCAAGTAGTAGAGTGAAGGCACTAAGTTTAATTCCCAGTATTGCAAAAATGAATAAATGAATAAAAATAAATAAACAAATGAAGTTCAAATGACAATGCAAGAGATGTGTTACTTTGTGTGCATTTCTTGGCCTGTTGGTACCTGAGGTTTCTCATCTATAAGATGAATATGTTGACATGTACAATGGCTAAGATTCTTTCCAGTCCTGATACATTCTAGAATTTCTTCTTTTAAAAAAATCATTCTTGAAGGGGGGACCAAGATGGCGACGGGGAAGTAGGGAAATGCCACAGCTCTCTTCAACCAAAAAGAGAGTTCGAGTTCCAACGCTTAATCTCCCCAAGAGACCGACAACAACAAAAAGACGAACACTCAGAGAAAAACCAGAGGTAGAAAATAACAAAAAAAGAAAGAGAGGAAAAGAAGAATTTCAGAACAGAGAAGAGCGAAGACCCCTCCCCCAACCTTACTGGCCGCGCGGTAGTGCGCCAAGCCGCCGGCCAGCCGGCCCGGCGAGGGCTGCCGGAGCCCCAGAGACACAGGTGGCCGCTTGCAGATCACCAGGTACCGGTTCGCAGAACAGCGGATTGCCAGGAACAGAGAAACCTACCAGCCGGGATTCTCCAC